AAGAACAGCCCCAAAATACCCTTCAAATAAATAAGCCCCCAGGAAAAACGTCTCTGACACAGCCCTCCCAAAGAACAGCTCCAAAAACCCTCCCAAAAACACCCTTCCCAGGACACAGCTTCACAACAGCCTCCCAGGAACAGCTCCAAAACATTCTCCTCCAAACAGCTCTCCTAGGAAATAAAAACTTAATCTCCCTACCCAAAACAGCCCTGCCAGGACCAGCCCCAAAACACCTTCCCTAAAACAGTCTCCCCAAACACCCTTTGGGGCTGCCACAGCCCCAAATGAGGCTCCCAGGCCACGGGTACTGTCAGTTTTTATTAATTGCTGCTCCCGCCGGGGCTCGGGAGGCGAGGGGGGCTCATAAGGCACCGCAAACACCGCGGGGACAGTCCCTGGTTAATCCCAGCACAGGGGTTTGATCCCACGCCAGCACTGGAGGAGTTGGGATCACCCGGGAGAGTCATCAGCTCCTCCTCCATGGGCATCATTCCGGACTATCCAGTGCCAATCAACACGAGGTGCCCGTCAGCGGGTTCCAGGCACAGGCCGAGTGCCACTTCACTCACTACCAGGACACTTCATTCCCTGCTCCACTGAAGACAGGAATCCAGGAGTTGGGCCTAGAAACACTTGTTCTTCCTCTTGGGAAATCCAAGGGTGACACCCACAATTGTTTTATTGCCGTATTCTTAATAGAAAGTTAATTACTGTTATTTTTTGGTTAGAAAAGACGTTATCCACTGCAGATCCAGAGAGGAATCGAAGTCACCAGAGAGCTGGGAGCCACCCCAGCTGCCTCAGTGATGAAGACATAGGTAACACCCATCACACGTTATTTAATCTGTGCCAATCCTGTGCCAGCTTTAGGCTTTGTAGCTCAGCTCAGCGTTCATCTTCGTGTACATCTCATAAATTGCATCCAGGATTGGAGTGACCCTCGTGACAAACTGGTGGATTTTTTCTATGCTTTCCTCTTCCTTGACTTCTTTACCCTTCTCCAAGGCCTTCAGCAAATCGGATTTGTAGGGAAGAGCATAGACCGAGCCCTGTAAAACAGGGAGAGGGTGTTTGGCTCCCACAAACCCAACAGAGACCATAGGTTGGGTTGCTCCTATGTGCCAACGCTGTGGTATCTCCAGACACTTGTCAGTGCACGGGAACAGCCTTAGGGATGGTGGTTGGATGCTTGGAGAGGGAGGGAATGCTCACCGTGAAGAGCTTCTGCAGCATCCAGCCGTGGTATTTCTTCAGTGCGATCTCATAAGCCTTCAAGGCGTTCACTCGGATGAGGTTGGGATGCTCCTCATCCCTCTCACCATCAGAGATGCTCTGCAGCAACACCAGAATGAATTTCAGACCCCTGGGGAGAAGAGCAGAGATGTTTGGCTCAGGGAAGTGGGTGCTGCTTCCCAGCTTCCAGCCTGGTGTTTCCAAGCATCCCAAAAACCCAGAGTCCCAGCAGTGCATCCCTCTCACAGAGCTGGTGCCTGTCCCTGTGTGCACATCAAGGGAAGAGAGAGAGAAGGGCTGGATGGAGCACCCAGGGCAGGATGGAAGCCCTGGGTGAAGCCAGGGCTGAGCTGGGCAGGGTCAGGTGGATGGATCCTCCAGGCACTGCAGGCTCCTCCTGACCTGTCCAATTTGTGGGCTCATGCTCTGAGGTTCTGCATTCTTGGGGAGCCAGATTTGAGGAAGGAGTTCCCAACAGCCAAACACAGCACCCCACTGCCAGCTGCCCAGCCCACAGGGACCAGCCCAGCACACGCAGCCTCCACTTGGAGCTCTCCAGCTCCCCACATGCCGGGACACAGCCGGAGCAGCTCCCGACGCCGTGAGTCACCTTTTCAACCACATCAGCGCCAGCGTCGCGCCTGTCTTGGGCCAGGCCGAGCCGTGCAGCTCCTTCTCCACCTCCAGGATGTTCTGCAGCGTTTTGAACTTGGCAGGGTTGGAGTCATAAACCGCCCGGATTTTCTGCGGGCAGAAAAGGGGATTGGCACCCGGGAGCAGGGACTTTGAGCAGGAGCTCTGGGAATAAACCTGTGACCGGGTGAGCCACTGCTGAGCCCAAAGTCCCCACGGGAAGAAAAGCCTTTTGAAACACCTCCCACAGGTTTCTCCCCAGGGATTCTCCTCTCTGAGCCCTCCTGAGTCCCTTCCTACCTTGATATTTCCAGTCAGGTCTGCTTTGACCGGCGAATAGACGATAGGAGTCCCCAGGCAATCTGTGGAGACAGGGAGGGAGGACAGTTAAACACTGGTGACACAGGGGACAACAAACTTCCCTTACCAACAGGTTTCACTTTAACCACAGCTCCGGCAATGAGACTAGTAAGGATCTCTGAGCTTCACACATGGCTGTTGGCCCTTGGGACAGCCCTGCCACTTATTACAGCCCCACCAGTGACCTCCAATCCCCCTGGCTGCTGGACACAGCCCTGGCAGAAGGTCCTGGAACATCCTGCCCGTCCGCAGGCAGGCAGCCCCACGTCCTGCCCTTCCGGGGCTGCCACACAATAGCTGACATTGTGGAGGGCACACTGTGCCACGAGGGCGGCCACGCCGAACACCCACCCGTGTCCCGACACGGCGTGGGATCCATGGGTGGGATGGCAGCTCCTGCCCCGCCGATGCCTCTCTCCTGCACCAGGACGTTTTTCCCAACGGGGCTGCTCGGCAGGTTTGACAGCATCGTGATGCAACCGCGGCCCTGGCAGAGCAGCCAAGCCCGGCGTGAGCCCTGGATCAGGTAGTGGTGGGGGGGGTCACCACACAGAAATGGGAAGATGCACCCCAGAGCGACTGAGCCCACAGCAGGCCTGATGCCAGCCCGCATCTCCCAGCCCCGGCCACCCCGGTCTCACCGAAGAACGGAGGCAGGTGCGCCACGGCCTCCAGGAAAGGCAAAGTCTCGATCTGCTTATCAGCCGGCAGCGGCTTGAACTCGTGTTCCAGCAGCAGCGCCATGACCAGCGTAGCCCCCTTCCTTTCCCCCCCTCACCGCTCCCCGGCTGAGGGGGCTCTGAGGCAGCGGGGGCCGACCCGGCAGCGCGCCCACGCCAGGCTCCGCCCCTCGCCGCTCCGACCAATGGCTGCGCATCGGCCGTACGGCCGATGCGCAGCCATTGGTCGGAGCGGCGAAGGGCGGGACTTTCTGCCCAATAGGAGGCCACGCCCTCATCGCCCCCTCAGACTCGGGGTCTGGCCGTGCGCTGCCCCGGCCGCGTTCCGAGCGCCGGGCGGGCCGGCGTTAATTATTCACGGGAGATAAATATTTGATAGGGAACAGATGGAAAACAAACCTCAACGCGCGCGGGATGTGACGGCACACCTCAGCCCCAGGGGTTGGGTGGGGAAAATGACACCGAGCTGGGGGGGGGGGACGCGGAGAGGTGAAGAAGAGGTGGGAGCGGAGGGAGGCTCAGCCCCGTCCGCTGCGTGCGGAGCGGGCTGGCCGGTGATGGGGCCCCAAATGCGGTGTTTGGACTGGTTATGCTGGAAAAACAGGTCGTGGGGCGATAGCGATCGGTGGCGGGCAGGGCGGGTGCGGGGAGCTGCCGGCTGGTGGCCGCCTCCCTCCCCGCTGCCGAATTACCGCGGTGCCCGGAGCCCGTCCTGAGAGATGCCCGGACCCCCTCCCGGGATGCTTGAAGCCCCTCCCGGGGCGCCAGGAGCCAGTTCCGCGGTGCCTGAGATGCCCCGAGCCCATCCCAGGGTGCTCGGAGCCTGTCCTGGGATGTCCAGGGCTCACGGAGCCTCTCCCGTGGTGCCCAGCCCGTTCCGGGATGCCCCGAGCCATC